AGTGACAGAGGAAAATGAAGTTTTGAACCAAAAGGCAAAGTTCGCGGATGAAAAAACCCAACCCAATTAGCTGCTTATGAGGAATCGAAATTCAGAGCATTTGCTCTTCCATCTCCCTCAACAACCTTTTGATTGACTCTGCTTAGATCTGTACAGCAAAGCAGATAAATCGACATGCCACATGCATGCGATGCTTAATCATTTGTAATAGCCATATTTGCCCTGACATACAATTTGCTATATCAAGCCAGTTTTTTCTTGCTCACCAGTGTTCTGCTGCTTGGCCTATGCTTTATAAAACATTTAATAGTTTGCTTTAAATACATCAACATGCTGATATATGATTGCCCTTTGTATGCCTCCTCGAGAAATCATGCACTTTCCTCCTATTGTGCTTTGCATGGTTTGACACTGGTGAAGAGATCTTGTGTCGGGAAAGAAGGGGTATTAAGGTCTTGATTTTCTGTCTTGTACAAGCAGCTACTCCGTGCATAAAGGCCATCAGTCCTAGTGAAGGCTGGACTACTGGTGGGGCTACTGTCATCATAATCGGAGACAACTTCTTTGATGGCTTACAAGTCGTATTTGGAACTATGTTGGTCTGGAGTGAGGTAAGCTATCTAAATTGGTGGGCTTTGAACTGTAACATTTTTCCATGAATGATTTTAACAAGCTGTCAATAGGCTATTGACATGAGGTATCATGAGATTTGGTTTCACAGTGCCTTTTTAACCATGAATTCACATGTGACAATTGGCTACGCGGCCAGAAACAAACTCGAGGCACGTCATGGCCCTCTAGTGGAAGACTTGCTGTAGGAGGTCTCCCAGTACAATTGGACAATTAGTGTTAAAATTACTAGAAGTAGCCTTAAGGAGACATATGGAGGCAATTTTCATATGAATGATGCCCTGTGGCCTTTCCTGCAAACGAAAACCAAGGATCATTTACAGCGCTTTTTCTTAAAAAAACTTGTAGAACCCGTATCTTTGAACGTGACAGCAAGACGGGAGAATTTTGAGACGACAAGTACGCGTGAAAGTCATTTTTATAATTATGTAAACCGTCTGGCATCAGTCTTATCAGTGCCATCTTGGTTTAAGGTATGTTTTCTGTACGATTTTTATAGCTGATAACACCCCACGCCATCAGAGTTCAAACACCACCACGGCACATTCCAGGAGTTGTTGAAGTAACTCTCTCCTACAAATCCAAACAGTTCTGCAAAGGTGCGCCCGGCCGATTCGTCTACACTGGTAAGTGTGCCGTTTCCTTACCCCTTTCGGGATAGCAACTCCCGTCTCTTAATGACGTACAGGCAGCGCAAATCGGGAACGTTACAATGCTGTGAAAAAATAGGAGGTGTCTTGCAGGAAGTGTAACTGGTGGTAGCTGGACCTCAAAATACCTGTTTGTGTGGGCACCCAGAAACTCTGGTGGCTACCCAAGCCTCTTGGGTCTTAAAAACTTCTCGAAGTCTCGTGAGATCAAGCTCTCTGACAAGATGCCTGTTACTTCTTGTTTTCGTGTTGGGCAGAAACAGATTAGCAACGGTATTTCCTACTCTGTTCCGGCCAGAAAAAGGAGTTAAGATGTATTCGGTGATGAAAAATATTTTTCAGACTATCTATCCAAACTTCTTGAACTTCCCTAAAGGTTCAGTTGAAGTTTTCGGCATCAGTTCAAGTAGCTGTTGTTGGAACCCAAGAACTTTATCCAACCTTATTCATGATCTGGCTCTCAAAATTCTTTCAGACCTGAAACGTGGGATAAAAAACTCACAAGCCTGGGAATGATTTATTTGTGCCAATTCTTCTAAATACATTTGATTTTAATTTACAAGAGCACAAGAAAAAGTCGGAACTTTGTGGTTTCCAGTGGTTTTAATATGAAAAGTCTTACTTCAGGATGAAGTATTGCTGGCTTTTTGTCCAAAATGTGTATTAATGTTTTTCTGGCATTTAACAATGAATTTAACTGAGGTGCTGGGAGAGAAAGGGGAGAAATAGCAATTTAATTTACTGTACTTTTGGATGCAGATTCTAGGTAATAAATTTGATCTGATGAATCAATTGCTCTTTTGAAAACAAAGAGCCTTTAACTGTTTACTCGACAGACTGCGGGGATTCGGGGAGAGTTCTTGCTGCTTACTGGGTAGATAATGCAGATTGCAGATGATGTGCAGATGATGTGCATTTTGATGAATATTTTCCCACTAGACTGCAACTGTTTCTATCTATTAATTTAGATCTAATGGGAAAAGTATGTTCCTGGGTAGTTTTAAGCTAGGACTTTTTAAACAGTTAACGCATCGAGGATGTATTTTTCTGTCTGCCTAAGATCTATCGCTGAAATGAACTTTGAAATGAAGGTAGCATTTGAGATTCCCATCTTCCATCCATCCCCAAAGAAATCACAACCTGAGCACAACCAATGCTCGCATTCACACCTGGGTGCCTCACTTCTGGCTGACAAGGGAGAGAATATTTACATTTTGTTGATCTTTCCGGTCGGGTTTTTACTAGAGTTGCCAAATGGGACGGTGGTGCCCGCGGTGCTGTTGGTGCTAACAACGTATCTCGAAAGCCGACGTTGTTTTGCAGCCTGCTGCAAAGGTGGCAGCGCTGGTGGGGCTGCATGCGGACACGGTTACAGCCTGCGAAAGGCTGTTACGAACACGGTCCATGCAAAGCTGCAGCAGAGTACACTGACAAGTACAACTACTTCGCTAAGTGTTCAGCAAAGTAAAAAAATGAATGAATTGAAAGCCTTACACTAAATTCCACGTATTTTAGCTGCTGCGAGCTGGTGCAGATCCACTGCATGCAGGGAAGCGCTGCAGATTTGAACCAGATGATGGTCTGGCTCTCAGTACACAGTTCTGGAATTTTGAACTGCTTTATACTAATGTCTTTAATGATTTCTTTGGTGAGGATTTTGCAAATTTGACAAATTTTACTATTTTAAACTTCTTTCTAATGTATAAATGCAACTATGTATGAAACTGTAAGGAAAAACCATTTGTTTCTTCTTTCCTGGGGTCATCTTTTGTCTTCATTGCTAAATAAAAGTGTTCAAAGGAATCCTGAAATTGTCAGGAGCTTCTCTTGCTGGAATTAAATTGTAATAAAGTTACATTACTGGCAACGCTTTAATGGGAGTATGTATTTAAAACACCTTCGGAGAGAGACAAATGCCTACATCCCAGCAATGAGAAAATACAAAGATAAATCCAGCACCTGCCTGACCGAGAAACTTCTGCCTGCTTCGCTTTGTCCTGAAGTGATAGGATGACCGAGATAGTCTTTGGAAATTACAGCTGCCATTGAGAGGGAAGCCAAGCCTCGCTGTATTTCAGAAAATGAAAATGCTGTAGCCCTAGAGGAGGGAGGGGCTGAGTCCCCAGGGCATCTGTTTCCCATCAGTGTCCCACCATGCTTGCAGTCTGGCTTGGCACTCTAACATTTAACCTTCCCAGCATGAGGTAGACCATAGGGCAACAAGGCTGCAGAATAATGAAACAAGAGTGTAGTGTGGTGCACAAAGCCTTTGTGAGTGGAGGAGTTGAGACATTAAATGATCAGGGTACAGAGATATGAAAGTTCCAGATTTTTCTGAGAAGCCCCCATTAGTCTCAAGCAGAAGGCAGAGTGCGCCGTCTCTCAGCAGGCAAAGGCAAGGCCTTTCCCCATCTATCCGTGCCTTTTTGCCCGCTGCTTTCAACTATTATAAAGATACAATTACCTTGGGAGATTGTGGCAGTTCAGTTGATTAGCATGGTGAATTAAAAGAATGAGTCACAAATGACATGTCCAGCTCTTCTCTACTAGTCCTTTGTATTCCCAGTGTACCTCACCCCTGTTGTAAGGAGGTCAAAAATTAGAGAGAGATAACAATTTTCAAGCAGCTAGCACTTAGGAGCAGAATTAACAATCATTCTGTATGTAATTGCCAGTTAATAGTAAATTGCCTTCCAGACTGTAAAATGCAATATAAACTGGTGGGCACCTAAAATTAAATTAATGAGGTATTTGCTGCATTTAAAAGTGAATAGTGCAAATTAATAACTGGGTACAATACTTGTTTTAATATATACCGAACAGTGCATCATTTGCTTGTTTAATAATAGTTTTAAAAGTGCTACCTGAAAAATTCTTTATCTACCTGAGTAAATCGAGTGGTTTGTGCAGGTTGTAGCCATAATTTTGCTGGTAAAGTCTTCCAGGTTTCTAAATTAAATATAAGAGATTATTTTTTAATTAGAATATAAGCACTGTGGTGTTATTTGATTATGGCAAATTGTGATTTGTATGCTTCTAAATGAAATTATGTTACAGATAAAATTGCACCTTTCTGCACATATTTTGAGCTCGGTAGATTCCGTTGGTTTACTTGAAGATGAGCGGCAGTACTGTACTTACCGTGTATTTGTGGCACTGTGTTCCTGTTTTCTCAAAGTGTGTATTTTGCATAAGGATTGCCTAGGGAATAAAGGAAGTATAGTGTCACCCAGGGTATATTAAAATAGTTTTGAAGAACGCTGTTTGGCACCTGGAACTTTCCATGCTGACTGCTTTCAGCCTAGCGTTTCTGTTGCACTCGCTTATTTTGATAACTTCTTTTGCTCAAAGAAATGACCCAAATTGTCAGGAGACAACAGCTCGTTGAAGTAGACTGTACCCGGTCGCTGTACAAGGTACGGGCACGCGATTGCAAACAAGTCCAAAGCGGACGCGGAGAACTCGTGAATGTTGAATACATGGAACCATTCCCAGGTCTGCAATGCATTTGCTGGATGTGAACATAAAAATGATTATTTTGCACAAAGACTTGCATTCAATTTTAAGCTTATGAAACCATTACTCAACCAGTAATCGCTCACAGTTTGTGTTCCTTCTGATAGAGTATTTCTGTGGAAGAAGGACGGCCGGGCTGGAGGGCTGGCACGGCACCAAGGGGGGGAGGCCCCTTTAGTCACTACATTGTCCAGATTTCTTGGTTTGGCTCCGTTTCGCCGCGGTATGGAGACCTCCGCTTTGGCTGGGTTCCCTCTGCTCACCCCCGCTCCGCTTCCCCCTCGGAAAGATCTTGTGTTCCTCAAGTATTTTCGAGATCTTTTGTGCGCATTCAAATGTGATTCTGTCAATGGCGCTGTGACACTGTTTAGAGTCAATAGCTCCCTTCCATCACAGCCAACACAAACTGGCTGTCGCATAGGTCAGTGCTCTTTAAACAAATTACTTGTATCCACAGAGCAAATGATTGTTAATTGCCTCCCACAAATCATACTATTTTTACTATGCTAAACTACATGCTAATGCCTTAGTTAAATTTAAATCACCTGATTATTTCTTGTAGATATTCAATTATTGTACTTAAGTACAAAATCTGGTGACTTTGCAAAATGAATGCTAAAAATATATATAATGGATACAGGGCTTTGCTGGAAAGCCTTAGACAAAAAAAAAAAATACTGTTACATTCATTTTAATGAAATCCTCAGCATTTCTAATTCATATATATTGCATTTCCTTTTTTTTTTTAAAGTGCTGTTGTCCTGAAGCAACTCACAGTTGCTGTTATTACAGTATTGGTTATTTATTGATCAGACCTTGTGTCAGTATCAGTTGTTAGCAAGACGAAAAAAATCAAGCTAGAACAAATATTCTTGCCCTTTCTTCAAGAAGGGTCTTTCTAAGTCAGTCAAAGCTATCATTAAAAATCAAAACCAGAAGGTACCCCTGCTAATATGTTTAACCGCTTTATCGCGCTAGGGTAAAATGTGTTTTTCTCAAAACAGTAATGTCGAAGAGAAAGAGATCCCAGTTAACTGTCTTTTCTTATACAGAAGGTTTTTCAGCATGACATAGATTTTTAATTAATAGGACAATGCTAAACATACAGAAATGATTTAGTAGCGTCAAGTCAGTAGCATGTTGGATAATGTATATTATATAATAGCTCTTTTTTAAACAGTAGCAATTCCAGGTTTATCAGGGTCATTGTTGTCCCCTTTCTTTTCTGTCTCAAAGGAGGCCAGAAGAATGAGACATACCATTTGTGCTATTGCACAAGTAGACTATTTGTCCTAATCAGTGACACCCATTTACTAGAATTGCTTAAAATGAACTATACCTCATACAGAAATCGCACATTTAGAGTGTTCCATTCATCATCTGAAAATTGAGGGCCAGTAAACTTTTCTGTTCCTCCAGCGGGATCATAGACATGCATCAAAATGTTAAAAAATGATTGG